TGTCTGACAGGGAAGCTCTATTCATATCCAGTCCACACTTTCCTGTAAATCAGTCTTCAACTTTACTGAAAAGGCAGCTTGAAAAGCAAGCAACTCATAAAACACGGAGGATGAAATACTGAACTGCAGAAAAAGGAAGAATGACAATTGACTCAGGTGAGATAAAGAAATGGCATGGAAAAGGTGAAAAGACAAGGTCCAGGTTTGCAGAAGCACTGGGACCCAAACAAGTCACCATGGGTTCTTTAAGCCATGGGGTGTATGACTGTGTGTGTGTGTGTTGTGGGGGGATGCCATTGTTTAATCACTCACCCAAGCACAACTGTTGTGCTTCTGGTTTCTTTGAAGATTGTTCCCTTTCCTGTTCCCGTCTGAGTTCGGATGACAATTACCCATGTCCACATGGATGATTAGGCAAATGGTGGTCATATTGATCAAATAGCAGTGATTGTGTGCATCAGGCAGGCCTTCCAGCTTGTGGCTCAGAACCATGGCAGAGAAACAGGCCGGAGGAAGTTTTTGCTTGAGGAAGAACTAGTGCAAACAAGATTAGAAGCCCTTCCTAGGATCAAGTAAGCAGTGCATGATAGCAGGTAGAAAAGCCTGACTCTGATCTGGCAGAACAATACAGAGAAAACTAAAGCCGTTCTAGATGCGCAAAGTAGTCTACAGGCAATATGGCGAATAGGCCAACGGCCTGTTGGGGCAGAACAATTCTGGAGCGCTATGTGGAGGAAAATGCTACAATTACCATAGCGTGCTCTCTCTCTCTCACACACACACCTGCACTGGCACCCTCTCAGGGTCCATGCATCCATTCTGAAGTGTTGCAACTTTGCATGAGCTCAGCATGACTTGCAATGTTAATTTTCATTTCCCCACAATGGCTACCATGATTCTGGAGTAGAGTTGGGAAAACATAAAAACGGATGAGAGGAAGCAAGCCGTAAGTGCAGGGCTTATGAACCTTGCTCACTCAGTACAGGTGGCCATGTTGTTGCAGACACACCTGCCAGGACTTTAAGGTGTTCTCTGGTCCTAATCTGGTCAGATCCGAAGGTTTCCTGGCCTTCCTCATCTTTATGTTCCATGTTTGCAGAACCCCTTTACTACCATTTAGTCCATTCCCTGCAAAAGCCCATTTTCAGCACTCTGTCATTAAAAACAAATAGAGGACTATTCTGTTTACGAAGAAGCTGTAAAGGAATCTGTAAATACCCTGAAAATAAATTTTGGGATAGATGAAGTACTAACATGTGAGGTTTCTCCAAACTGTGTCATACGCTGGCTCTCCTGGTAGAACAGATCATATATTTAGCTTGGCGCTGTCTAACCTAGCATTAGGTTGGCCAGTGCTGAAATGTTGTGAAGGAACTGCTGGGGCCAGGAAATGCTCTTGGAACCATAAAATACCTTCACTGCTGGATCTCTTTGAGAGGAGAGTATAGAAATAGAGACGACATAGATTCAAACAAAATAAATTGGTATGCTGTCACAAATAAAAGCCAAGTCCCTTGCTGGAATCAAAACTCCCTGAGCTACACATGCCCATTCTTGGCAGTCTGGCTACTTCCTGTGTACGCTTTTGCCTCTTTTGTAGCTGTGTGTTCTAATTTCCCCATGCAACATGTAACATGCCCCGGATATTTGCTAGAATTCTCCTATGAAACGGCATGCAGCTTCTAGATGATCCCATGAAACGGTCACTGTTCCTTCACAGAGGTTGCTCCAACAAATTAGATGGATTATAGTTCCTCATGTCTGATCCTTGTGAACGTTTTTGACCCTGCTAGCTCACACAATTCAGCACAAATATGGAGATTCATAAACCAGCTGATTGAATAGTTTCTGTCACTATACCACAAGAACAATTTGGATAGTGTCTCTGGAGTTCAAGAACACTACCTTTACCTGCAAAAGGTCCCCGTTTCAATCCCTGGCATCTCCATTTAAAAGAGTCAGGTGGCAGGAGGGTGGAAAGATCACTGCCTGAAGCCCTCAATAGCCACTGCCAGTCAGAAAAAAAGAGTACTGGTTCAGATGGACAAACAAAAGATGGCCCCCTTCCTAGGCATTGCTGCCAAAATGCTGAATATCTCTGCTAAACCCTGTTGTCTCAAAACCACAAGCCCAATTTTTTTCAAGTCTGTTGAATTCTCCAGTGGGATTTTAGAAGACTTTGCTTTCCCATTCCTACCACTGCATCTTCACTGCATCATTTTCATGGCTCAGGGAGGTTCCCAGGAGCATTTTATGGTTACCTGGAACCTTCATGCTACTGCACATAAGCAGATAGGAGGTGAGGCTTGTTCAGATCACAATTTATTCAAATTAATGGCAATAGTGCTATGAGGATCAAGCATTATGGAATACCACTCTTTATGAGAAAATCGTCTACAAATTAGAATATCTGAATCAGTTTGTTTTTCACAAGATACCTTCTGACTAACTAAATTGGGTCACATACCTCTGATCCTTTTTCCCCTTGTCATGGATGACACACTGCAACTGTTCTGACATAAGCCCCAGAGGTCAGTGGGAATTACTTTTAAGTAATTGGATTACAGCATTAAGAACTGATGAACTATGGACTGAATTTGCTCTTTGCACTGGGATTGTAAACCAGGTTTGATATTGGTTTGCGATCTTGGTTTGGAAGAGAAATGCAAACCATAGTTAATTGGTTCAGATGAAATGATGAGCAATAATTCCCTGTGAACCAGAAAGCAGACCACATGGGATCCAGAGTGTCTGGTACTAATAAAGGTTTCACATGATGTGTACACGGACAATGCTGGGTTTTGGACTGCCCCTTTTCTGTTGGTATTGCTCTCCAACCAAGTTAAAAAAAAATGCTCCTTCACTCAGGTTACACTAATGGCTATTTTATTTAAAGGATGAGAAAACACAGTCACTGTAGTTCATTTGTACTCATAATAACCATTGACATTTTCTAAATCATATATTGACATCCATGTGTAACAAAACATTTTTCTGAACTGTGCAAAGTACAAAGGGTTTGTTCAGTTAGCAGAAATGTTTTCCAGTACAATAAATCTGGCATTTTACAAAACAAGGCTGCCAGGACAATTTGTTTGCAATTTTCTCTCATAGAAAATGCACACGCACACGTGTGCACACTCTTTCCCCTCCCCATGCTTTCTGTCCTTTAAATGCAGTTTCTCTGTGGATGACCGTAGGTGTCAAGTCTTTTCCATGCCATCTGAGATGACACAGAGGTCACTGTCTGAAGTTCTTGGCTTATCATTGCATCGTACATTTGTGCTATTTATGCAGGACCAACAGACCACAGGAAACTGTTCCACGCTACCATGACGAATGAGAACTAAGAGCTAGCAATACATGTTTTCAGAGCATAAAACAGTAACAAACAAAACAGAACAAATCAAATCCCAACCATCTTTATCCTCCAATGAAGTGTAACTGATGGGTTTGCCGCTGCTACTGCTGCTGCTCTCTCTCTCTCTCTGTTATCCTTGTGGCCAAAACCCTTTAAAAATGACTCCCAGACAGATATTTGTAAATTATCAGCTCATGTACTTTATGTTTTGTACTAGTGCAGATCCGGCATTGATACCTGCATGCAGACATATGCAGCTTTCACCAATGAAAGCTGGCTATGTTCCTGCAAAGGAGTGTGTACTGCTGTTGTGTGAATACACCTTTGAATGGCTGGATGAATACACTATGCAAGTACTAAGGTTCTTTGCTGTTATATATTCCAAGCACAGCAAAGAAACCAGGTGAAGATAAGAGGTGGCCTCCGGTTTATCAAATAACGAGCTAAGCTAGCTGCACGCAAGAGCTTGTGTGTATCTGGTAGGTTTTGTGCCTTTTTTCCTTTAAATAGCAACCAAACCTTCCAATCTCATATTATTAATTGCTCCTGACCCTCCTTTCAGATTTATCCTGGAAACAAAAGTCTGAAGTCCCCTAGGCACATGGAACTAGTTGCATAGTTCTTTGGATTCTGGCCTCTGTCACTAACACCTCTTATATAAGATAGACACTTTGTGTAAACTTTAGGAGATCAGTGGCCATTGCATCTACAACAAGTAGTCACCACTTTTGGTCCACTGCAGAGAGCTGTCCTTATTAAGCATATAACTAAGTACATATACTGAGCTGGAGTTGTTTGGGCTTTAGTTTAAACCACCACCACCACCAACAAAGAGTTATGTTTCAAAAAAGCAATTTCTTTATTTATCCAAGGAATGTTTCCATGCTGAAGCTGCATAGAAGTACCAACTCTGATTTGGTCCAATTAGATGCAAGCAAGATGCTTTGCAAGAATCCCAAAGCAAAACGGAGCACAGACTGCTGCTTCCTGCCTATCTCCTTCCCTTCGTCTCTTCTGGGATAGAGGGGCTGGGGAAGGAAAGGACTCCATCAGGTCAAGTTCCCACCTGGTAGGAGGCCTGACCCCCATGTTCTCTTTGCTTCTGCCAGGAGAAAAATATGGCACTTTTACAATGCAAGGCATAGATTGGGCATGACCCAATTAAAATTAAGGAATAAACTACATATCACATGCAAGCATATGCAAAAATACTCCTGTGCATTAAAATAAAAGCCAGTCTAGGATGGTGGGGTTCAGAATTAGAATAAGGAGGTGAGAGAGTTTTATTCCTTTCACTGCCTGCTGCAAAGTTTCTTTGGATTGCAGTCCAAAGCAGCTCCCTCCCCACTTGGATGCACGATGCATTGCTGAAATCCTGTAGAGAGCAGGGAGTCACTGGGGACAAACCAGCAGGCAGGCAAAGGGTTAAATGACCCCCCCCCCAAACCCCTCCCCTCTGAGCTACTTTTTGAATAGCTTGGTTTTGTTTTTTGGATGCCTCATGGCATCCAATATTATGCTAGTCTTTCCCTGTGGGATAAACTTAGTTGCCTGGTGAAGCTAAGAAATAGGGCACAGGTAGCCGTATTATGGTAAAGGGCTGTCCTAGTATTACATAAATAGATGGTAAAAACTCAGAAAGGCTGCCCAAGAAGGAGGTTGGATATTACCTGGACTTGGCTGGGGATGAATTTGGCTTGGGTAAAGGGTCAGAGAGTTTGTCCAGAGGTAAAAATAAAAAATAAAAAAGTCCTCACTGGCTTGTAACAGCACCAGTGTCTCTCGAGTCCCAAAGAATTGTCAGCAATCTTTTGAAATCCCCAAACTAGATATTAACAATCGCTTATGTACAAAACAAATCACTTATTTAATACTTTGTCTGGTCTCTAGTGCTGGTGCCCATCCCATATCTAAGCCTCTTTCACCAGCTACTGGGTGGTTTTAAACTATTCTAACATTGCTGTTGGTAGTGGAAAAGTCTCAGCTTGTGGAACTCTGAATTATAGTAGCAAAATTTCTTAGGCCCAGAAAGATAAGCATTTCTTTTAAACCAGAAGTCCAACTGGTGGAATTGCCCTGTGAAGGACCAGCTTCCACACAGGTGGTGGAAGCAGAAGGGACAGGAAATTCCTCTTACATCCATAAGGTTTAATGTGCAGTTTCCCTCTCGGTGATAAAAGTTTGATGGGAAAGCAAAACTTGTAGTTTAACACCTTCCAGTGAAAACAATAAGATGCAAAAGTGCTTTGTTTTGGCTGAGGTCATGCCTATTTTAGAAGTAGGAATATTGCTCTGTGCCTGAAATGTGCTGCCCAAAGTCATGCTTTGGGCCAAGATCACGAGAAGGCTGGTTCTAATACCGTAGAAAACCCCTTGCAGGATCAGTACCTAGATCAACGCGACACTAGGAAAACGGGAAAGGCTGCTGAGAAATTTCCCAGTCTTGTGCTGGGGTGCTAATCTGTTAATTCCAAGCAAGTAGGCCTTGGAGTACCTGTATGATGACTGAGAATAAGCGCATGCACATAACTGGGCCCTTCCCCTTTTGGAAAGACAGGGCAAACAGCCAGCTTCCTACCTAAAGCTCTAGAGCAATGCCCAATACACAGGACTGCACAGTAACCACGCAGAAGACATGAATGACAGCTGGAACATGGTTGAACTCACATTTACTTTTGCACACGTCATCTTTTTGACCTTTGCATCACAGAGACTCTTAGGATAAAATATGTATTGCATTCTTGCTTCAGTTACTTTATTTCTGCAGAACAGCCAAGATTATCTGCATATTTTCATTAGGGAAAAGTTTTGCTTCCGACTGTCTGCCTCCTAGCATCTTGCCAACGGTTCAGCCCTAAATATTTGCACACGAGTATCTGCCCTTAGAGCTAGTACAAGGATTGGGTCATTGGCTGTGTAACCTTAAAATAAGTAGAGCCAAAATCAATTATTTTAAATTTGGAAGGAGCTTGTATGTCTGGGACCTGTCTGTTTCATACAGTAAGGACATACATGTAGGACAAGTCATACATTGTAACATAATGGGAATATTTTAGATGATGGGCACTCCCTGAACGAGGATGAGCACACGGATGGCTAAAAATATTCTTCCACCTCCTAAAGAAATGTTAACAGCTGTCACGGCGGACTTATTACAGGTTAATTTTCTTGTTTCCTATTTATTGCACCTTTAAATTCCTAGTAGCTGGAAGCTTCTATTGCCCAAAATAGTTATTTTGTAGCTTGACCCAGGTTAGAAAACTGAACACAGAAAACATTTCTACAATAACAAATCGCAGAGCCATCCTCCCTCTGATGTTACGACAGACACACAGAGAAAAAAAATCCAGAGCTCTGTGCTTGCAGAAACCTGCAGTGTTCTTTTTATTGCCATGTAGAAGTCAATTAAAATGAATCCTCCTGGAAAATCTCCCAAATCTCCAGTAATTAGCAGTGTCTAGACAGAGTACTGTGCTTTGAAGAGGGTTCTGACACAACTTATTTGGGTATGAGGGACAGGCTAACTTATTTAGCAGTGTCCTGTAATTTTTTCCCCACATGGTGGCATGTAGCAAGCAGTAAAAGGCTTTGATCTTCAGGGATCTGGCATTGGCTAGAATAAATGATATAAAATATACATAATAATATCTTTTAATACAACAGTCCATAAAGGAGTATGTAAGTATTCGAGTTTGCCAACAGAAGGTCATTCAGTAAAGGAAAACGGGTTAAATTCAAAGATGCCCTTCCGCACACAGATGGTGCCTTCTGCTTATGGCAGAGAAGGTTCCCATCTCATGCTGTGGCCCTGCTTTAGGAAAGAGAAATAAAATCCGCCGATGTTCTCATCCAAGTGCTGCTGCAGCACGGACCTACCGCGCCAGTTACAGCGTTACGTGATTTCTCACCCTGCGCTTCTGAACCCTGTGCTTGTTCAGGTGATGAGCACCGCATGCTTCTTTGGCTCTAACTCAAACGTTTTACCCATTTGCTATCTCTTCATTGTGGATTGGCATAACCCACCGCCATCGCTGACCAAATCCAGAGATTCTCTTCCACAAACAGAGCAATCTTTTTGTGCGCAATTAGCTCGGACAAGGTGCATCTAGAACACACTTTCCTCTGGGGAAGCCTGTTCGTGCAGCTAACTGCGCACCAAACTTGTGCAAGGGTTGCACATCTGTGTGGACTGAGAATTACACATGCGGTCTGTTTTCTTCCACTTGTGGCACTTTCTATATCCTAGAGCAAACTGTGCTTTAGTGTCTTTAAGTTCCGGGCAATGGTTGGCATTCTAAACCACACATTTCAGAACTGGGGCGTTGGGTTTTGATAGAAAGTGTTTGCAAAGTCGGGATTTTCTTACCTATATGCAATATATAACATTCCTTGTATCAGAAAAAGTACAGTGTATTTTTAAAAAGCCCTCCTATCTGAAATGTTGATATAGTAAAGCAACTATCAAAATTAAAATGCTGCAAGAAAAGGGGCAAAGAAGTATCCTTCAGTGAACTAAGGTCTCATATCATTGTTGAGGGTGGGTCCAGCATGGACGGATATACAAAAGAAACCTTTGATGCCTTGGAGGCCCGCTAAAATAACTTTGGAGATGTGATAACAATAGAGAAAGCCAGAGTGCAGTGCCTTTTTGCTTGTCATGAGCTGATGATGACTTGGCTGGTATTCTTAAGCAGCTTATTGTGAGGTATGTCTAGAAAGGAGCTATCGTACTGTTTTGGGCCCCTAAATCTGCCTAGCTGGACAATATGTGAATATCACTGGGTTTATACTCTGTATACTTCTTTAGTCTCAACTGCAGAAACACACTGTTCTATTGTTCAAGAGTCACGTCGCTTGTCTCCTAAAACTCAGTCCCTCTTGCATAGGCCAGTAATAAGAACACTGCAGCTCAGACAAATAAATTACAGCAATATAACAAGTTTCTTATTTTTTAAAACATATTTTCTCTATCATTTACACGAAGTATAGCGGCTGGACTTTAGCTTAAATACATCCCGGATGTGCGTCCTCTCGGTCGTTGATTCCAAGTGGAAGGCACTACCCCAACGTACTGCTGCGTGTGCGGTGCACCGGTCCGAAAGCACAGCAAAAAGCCTCATCTCCGAGGCGGATCCTCAAAGAGCCTGGGGAGTCTTTGGAAATAATAATTACAGTTCTTATTATGGCAGTAGATATTATGAAAATTTCCCTTTGCTGTTGCTTTTTTGTGCTATGGAATTTCCTGTGAAAGGTCTCTAAAGTCCAGAATGCAAACCTTCAGAAGCTCTCCACAAAACTTCCTGGAAAGAGACCGGACCTACCGTTCCGCTGCAATGTCCCTTTGTACCAACCGTCCTCTCTTTTCTTGTGGACAAATACAATGTCACCTTCTTTCAGTTCAATCTCGGCCTCACTTTGCGGGGGATATGGGACCACAACACGATACCTGGAAAGAAAGAAGAGAATACCTTACTGCAGATGGTTGCATCTCGGAGGTGATGAGAGCACCACACAGCAGCCATGATGACTGCGGAGTGACAACACAGTGGTGCAGAACCTCCTCCGGCATACCTACTTCATGCGATTATGCTGGTGTGTGTGTGTGCATATAGTGTGAAAGCTGGGGTGGTGGTGAATGCATTGCATCAGGGCCCTGGGAGATCTGCTTGGTCAGGAAACCTTGGACCAGGTCACAGACTCTCAGCCTAACCTACCTCACAGGCTTGTTGTTGTGAGAATAAAATGAGGAGGGAGACTGTGCAAGTTTTAGAACTCCTGCTCTTGGATTCCTTGCAAGAAGACGAAAAGGCAGGGCATAAAGATAATGTAATATCTGTTTATGTTGCATTATGTTTAAATGCAACTCTTTTTTGCTACGACTTTTTCTTTCCTGTGAATTTTGTTAGTCTAAAGGCTAATGAAATTCAGAAAATGACCCTGGGAACCTGTGCATGAAAAATGAGGTGGTCTGACTTTTGAGAATTGCTCAGGGAGTTGATGCACTCGGGGGAATGAGATACAGAGGTCTAGGGTACTTACCAGTTACAGCTTCACCATCTGTTGAAGCTGACACAAAAAGCATAGTAAAAACCATTTGGTGAGTTGGCATTTCTAATGCTGGAAGGTGGTTCTGTGTCTTTGATAATGAAATGCTATTTTTCCTATTTGAATTTTCAGAAGAGAATATATTTATTTGTATCCTGTCCTTGGTGTTGTGCTATATGCCATTGCCTGTTATGCATTTTTTAAATTTCTATTGTTTGTTCTGTTGCAGGCATTCCCTGAAGAAAGAGAATTGTTCTCCAAAATGTTGGGCCAGCACACAATAAAGCAAGCCCTTTTGTGATTGTTATTTCTTTTGCTTTTTGGACTCGAGTGCCTCTCTATTAGTGTTATGTTAAATATTTTGTGCAACCTCTATTAGGTTATAATGTAACTGAGTAGACCAGTGGCCTAGATTTATTACTGTATATGAAAAGTTAAACATGTGCCGTTACCTTGGTTACAGTGGCTTATGAAGAGAGGCTTCAGGCTGTTTAAAATGTCCAGGGTGGGGGAGAAGTTACTTTTGCTTCAGAAGGTCAGGTAGGTCAATATAGATGCTTGACCATTAGAAGTTCCATAAAGAGCACAATTGGCCAGGATATTTGCAGAACTTCAGGGAGAAGCCTGTTATAGACTAGCCTGGTTCACATCACATGACAACTGACAAGAGATGGCCAAGGTGGTTTGTCTCAGGCTGGATTGCCATGATGTCTGAACCCAGCGCATGAGGCCTCCTAATGTGATCTGCTAAGAATGCACAAGCCACCCTGAGAACCCAGGGCTAGCTGGGGTGATCAGGATGGTTTATTTTCAAAGTGGCAAACTGTGATGTGTGAACCCGGCATGATGGCTCGTGCACGGTGTATTGGAAAGGGCTACCTGGGCAGAGCAGAGAAAAATCTTACCACTTGTCACATTGCTAACCATAGCCTCTCTCTTCTGTCTGGAAAGTCAGTCAGTTACGTCTAGTCAGTTTAGTGTTCAACTTGCCTTCTTAGACAATAGCACCTTTCCCCTCATCGCTGAAGGACTGTGCATATCCAACAATATCCACCCCTCCTTTAGAGAGAATAGCTCAAATTCACATTTCAGTTGCAAATATTTACGAAGACATACCGCATAACTCTGATAACTATGCAAAAGTGCAATAGTTACTGTGCCTTAGTAAAGTTTTGCAATTCTCCCTGAAAAAAGGGAATCTATGGAATAAATTCTACTCCATTAATGAGCATTTGCAGAAACGACTGGGAGAAAAACCACAGCAAACTGCTGAGTGCCTGGTGGCATATTTTCAGGGCAGCTTATCATGACAAGCAAACTGGCTCACTGCAGGGACAGCGAGAGTGGCTGCCAGCGAGCTGGGAACAGAACAGGAAACTGGCGGTGGGCTGCTTGGAGCTGGGAAAGAAAGAAAAAGGCAGGCTGCGGAAACTGTTCTAGAGGGAGGCCTGGAATCCGGAATTGGTGACTTATGGAAAGCAGGAGGCCAGGCTGTGAAATTCTGTTGCTACTTCAGGTAGGTTGCAAAGATGAGCACCAGGGGATTCAGTCAGAGACTGGACCAGATTCCTGATACAATATCATAATTCTAGAAGCTGGAGGAACATGAGGAGCTGAAGGCAGAGGGAGGGAGCAAGGGGTTAGTTGAGGTAGAGTTTATGGAACTTGGATCTGGTATGTGTAACAGGGAAATATAGAAAGTATTAGTAGGGAGGACTTATTGGTATGATAACAAGGATATTTAAGTACATTTAAGCAGTCCCATCCTATAATTTGAGAAACACACTATCTTCTTGTGTTTATAAATACCTTAACTATTCTCTTTGTTTTGTTCATCTTTTCTCTCTTGGTGGTGTCATTCCTGTGCTCCTCTACAGTTACCTCTCTAGTGAAGCATTTGAAATACAAAGGATTGTGGCACAGAGTTCCACAGATCCAGTCAGAAAGCAGTGGAAAACCTGCATGGGCTTGCAAGATTTGGTGGCCTCAGCACTGGGATGCCCTAGGGAAGGGATGTTTCTCTATAATAGATACAGCTATTTAACTGAGTGAATATGGCCAGAGCTGTATTTTCACAAGGCCCTCATTTTGTCATCTTTGTATTCACTGCTCTTTGAGGAAGCACAGAATGGCTTGCAGTGGCCCCTTCCCTAGGCAAGGGTTGGGACCAAGTCCATTTATTTCCAATAATACAGCTCCATAAGGTGCTTGCTCGGTCAAAGGATGGGTCACTACAACAGGGTGGAGAATAATGTCACTTATCAACATGCTAAACTTTGTAGAAGTGAGCCAAGCTCTGAGCATCCTGAGGAAAACCTGTTCAACTTGACATAGCACAGTTATATAGAACGTGCTTGCAATCCACCCAGAACCAATTGGTCCTCTTTTCCCGCCACCAGTAAATCTGCTTATCACATCTCCCATGCACGCAAAGGCAAGTTACGGGGGCTGCAGTGTGACCTGCAGGCCGACTATGAAGAAACAGTCCATCAAACCTGCACTGGCTGCTATACTTACCTGAGGAAGTGTTACCCATTTCACCCATTATGCAAATGAATGTTCACATTATTTTAGACATGTTGCTTCGGTGCTGACTAATTACATTCTAAGACGAGTGCAATTTTAGCTAAAATGACACCAGGTTTCAAAACTTGCAACTGTGAATGGATATGCATAACCAAACGTACAAACTAGGGTATATTTATTGGGCCACATCATCTTGGCAAAAGCATAACCAAGCTTTCACCGTACTCAGAGCTCTTCATATTTATGTGTGATGTAGTGGCAAAAACACTCCATGTTGGCTCAGGTTCTCAGCATGCTCTATGAAACAGATGGAGAATCGCACTTCATAACAAACTTTCCCAAAAGGAACTGTGTTTATTTCCCAAAAGGAGCTGTGCTTATTACAACAAGTGAAACCTTAAAGGGATGCGTGCGTGCGTGCATCTGCATATACGCGCATACAGGCACAAATGGGCTTGCTGTTCTCCAAAGCTTTTCGTTGCATCTGCCCGTGTATGTTTGCAAACTATAACAAAATAAGCCGTTAGGCCTTCAGTCTCTATGCTTCAGCTCCAGTGATCAGCCAGACCAGACAAAAGCAGCATTCAGGGGCAGGCAGCGCAAATAGCCTTTACGCATAGCGGGACTTCCTAGGCAACTTCTGGCAGCTCTTGCAGTGGTGAAATTGGCTTATCTCAGTTGTCCTGAATACAACGGTTGTGTGTTCAGGAAAGTAGCACTGGAAGGAAGCAGGTGTTAAGGAAGGAAATGAAATGCTGCCTACAATGCGCTATCGGGAAGGAAATGTAAGCTCTCAAAGCTGATGGGCTCCATACATATAATCTGGTATAGAATACAGAAAGCCCAGTGGATTCTGAACTAGAATGGAAATCAGTTCTTTATGTAATGCTTAAACAGTTTATAGTTCATCAAAATATGCAGCAGGCGACAACAAGCGAAGACTTTGAGACTTGGAGAAGCACACAAATGCACACCCTTCCCTAAATGCTTTTCCTTCTTAAAATGCATTATAATTTAGACTTGCCAATTTAGGACAGTTTGAGTGACTCCAGTTCAGATTTTATGCCAGGGCATTTACAAGACAAGTCCAAACCAGACACAAGACCTCCAGCCTTCCTTTCCTGAGTGCCCAGAATCCAAGTCTTCAGGAGGGGAAGTCCTGAAATATGCTTTTCAAGCCCCAGTGCAAGTTGGCGGAGCTTCTTTCTTCGACTACATTTTTGTGCAGGGGTTACAAAAAACAGTGCAGGGGGACAGTAGGCGAGGATGCGGATGAGGACAAGTCAAGCTCTCCCCTTAGTCCCGAGCATTTACCCCTGCCGGGCAACACTCTCTAATGCAAGTGAATAAAGAGGACAGCAATTTCCGTTTGCATTGAGATGGGGAAGCCACAGAGAGGGCCAAACAGGGGCTAGGAGGGGAGCTCAAGCCCCACTGAGCCATCTCCCAGTTTGTCGAGTTTTTCCTCCTACCTCGATAGCAACGGCACCTTATCATGCAAAACCAGCCGCTGGCTGTGGCCCCTCGCCCGCTCTGCCCCAGAGGATGTCCTCTTATTCCAACTGGAACTAGCATTTCATTCATTTCTTTGAGGTTGGGAAAAATGTCTCCTGAGATGAACACTTAGATCTACTTGATTCCCGCCCCCCCCCCCGCCCCTAGTTTTCAAGGAAGGATTCGGGTCAACTCCAAGTCAAGTTCTGAGGATTGCTTTTCAAAGCTCAGGAGTCCCTCTTTTGGACCAAGCCCCTGTGGCTGGTGGGAGCCGCCCCATGACCTTAAATGCATGTTTTTCTCATTCACATGTAAATTGTGTAAAAAGGACACACTAGCCAGCATAGCCCATTCTTCAGAAGCATCTTTCTCAGCTGGGCCGACTCCCGGTACTGCAATCCAGCCATGCTTGGTGGAACGGGTGGGTGGCCATGCACACCTCAGTCCTGCCAATTGTGCCCCCATTCCTTGTTTTACATTTGGATGGGAAAGGCCTGCGCTTAAAAACACAGTTGTGTTGCCACCGCATGTAGTTTGGGACTTAGTCATCCTAGTAAAATGTGACATCTTTAAGGAACATTTGGGACACATGGTGTGGACTGGACACAGGCTGAAGGTTTTTACATATGTAGTTTGCAGAGGCGGAAGTCCCCTGTTCCACCAGATGTGAAATGCAGCATCACGTGTGCATTTTGTGCATGTGCTTAAATAGTACTTCTGGAGGACTTCACTTCTAAGCAATTTGGTGATTTAATTATCACAAATGGATGTGGAATGAACGTTCAGACAAGGGTTTAATGCAGCTGCTCAGATGATTCCAGGGCTAGGCATTATTCTTCTTAGTATGCAGAGGTAATTAATATTCCCCATTTATAGGCATAAAGAACCATATGATCTGTTAGGGAATGCAGATAAACCAGTGATATCTAAGTTAATTCATAAATCAATTAGAAAACCATGCCTGCTGAGTATAATTAAAGTTATTTCAATTAAGGTTATTTCCCTGACTTAAGACCATGGAGATCAAACGGCCTAGAAATCAGAAGCAAATGTTAAACTGCTGCACAGCACAATTAGCACTAGTTGTAATATTTTAGGGATCTATCTGCATAAATCCATTTGCACTTCATTGTTATAATATCACGCAGTGAGCAAGTGGAAGGGTGCTCAAGCTATGTGCATGTTCTGCCCCGTAACTTTACAGTTCTGCCTTTGCTTAATTTCCATTTTCATCATCAGGCTTGGTTAAAAAGAATGAAAATTCACTAATAGATAGGTTTTCTGGGGTTTGTTATTTATTTATTTAATTTCTATACTGTGCAACAGCTGAAGCTCTCTGAGCAGTTCACAAATGTAGGCCTCTCTGCTTTTAAGTCTGGGAATGTTCCCATTGACTTGTCTTGGGAATAGTCAAACAGAACAGCCTTACAAAGAAATCTGCAAAAATGTTTGTGCTAGACCTCCTGCCCAAACATTTTTTGGGTTGGTTGTCATCTAAAAGTGAGGCAATGTTTAGAAATCTTGTGTGCTTGGAGGTAATTGCTGATTGGAAACGTAAATGTCTGCCGTAGGACTTTTTGCAGGTTATGTGACGGACAAAATATACATGAGGTTAAATACAGTTTTTGCATTTAATGTGCATGTTCTTTAAAATACAAATAGTGTGTGTGTGTGTGTGTGTGTGTGTGTGTGTGTGTGTGTGTAAATAGAGGAAAGTTGAAATAAATTGTAATAATTAACGGGACCACAATCAGATGGCCCTTTTCTCCTCTGTCGATGAACTACGTGATGCTATTTGAAGTGGGATAAAAGCACCCCACTAGAATGCAGGAAGGACTGATACCATTCTGGCACCTGACCACCACACACCACACCACACGCCATGCCACACCACAGCACACTGAATGGGCACATTTCAGTGTAACTGTAACCCAACAATTGACCTAACATTTGCCATAGTGCCTGAGGTGCCAAGTCGACCAAGAACAGGAGATATTTTACCAGGATAGGAGATAATCTTGTCTTCCAAGGCTAGGAAACATTCAAGCACAACTGTGCTGGCAGTTTGGTGCTTTTCTTCCTTTATAGATATAAGCCCTGGTAACTCCTGCTTAGAAATCATCTAATACTGATAGTAGGCTGTTAAATTTGTGTTGTGTACTGTAGCTAGTGGAAGTGACTGTGGCTGTAGATTTTGCTGAAAGCTGGTGGAAAGAATGACGAGGGGTTTTGGCACCAGGTAGACTATTTCCAACATCCAACGTAATATTTGTTGTGATGTGACTCACACACAGAGAGTGGGAGAGATAGAGCAAGAAGGAGCAAGAGAGGTTCTAGTAGGCAAAATGCTACTACTATTCTATTGCATTTGGTTAAGCTTACTAAGTAGACATATCTAGGATTGCACTGTTAGTGAACCGGTCTTCCAAGCAGCATGATTCTTGCAATGAAATGAACATTAAAAATAAATAAATCTGTGTCTGCTGGCATTGCTAGCATGCAACGTAAATGAGCGAGGAAGGGGAAATGTCTTGCAGGGTGTTTGTGTTGGGCTGACATACCTTTCTCGAGACAACGGCTTAGGTTCTGGATGGATGGTCGCCATTGAAGGTGGCAGCTGCCTTATGGGAGAAGGAATTGGAAAATTCAAATCCAAGGAGCCTGTCTTTCTGTGCAGAGGTTCCATCTCCATTGCTCCTTGCATTTCACTTTCTATTGGGCACGAGCCAGCTCTTCCATGGCTCGAGAGGGAGGATAGTTCGGGTCCCATGGCACCCTGCAGTATGCCCTCCATCACTGCCAGGGGGTCATGTGTTGGCGACATCGACGGAGGAGAGCGGGATTTCTTTTTTGTTGATGCTCCTGCAAGGAGTTTCAATAGTCCACTTTTCTTCTCCTTCTGTGTAAAGATCAAGGAAAACATTCAATGTGAGACCTTTCGAATCCATGATTTCAAATGAATGCCACCTATATTGTACACCCATCATCATCATCATAGTTGCAGATTTCTATTAATATAGATGTATAAATTTTGCTAAGGCAGTGTGGGAAGAAACAAGAAAGTGAGCAGCATTTGCAAACCACCTTTGCTAAAAGAACAGCATCGTTATGTGTTGCAGAGGTGATGCTGTAAGGACTCATCTAGAGGGAAAAATGCAACTCTAAACAGCTGGAATTTGAAAAGGCAATATTATTTGAAGCTACCCATGGGAAAACCAGAGCACTATTTGATAATTCCATCCTGACAAATGAATGTTTAAGGTTTTGCTGCAGCAAGAAACTGAAATGCCGTTCCAAGATTGCTATCACTTTTGGATGATCTGCTTATATTTCAGCATCGGAGGCCTTTGTGCCATCGGTACAAAACAACAACAAGCTTTTGCAAGAGCCAATGCTGTCTCACCAGGTCTAAACTGCAGCTAGGCTGAAGCCTTATATAAATATTTATTACACGTTGGCTCCAAGGTGCTCAGGTTATCCTCCCCTCATCCATTTAATCTTCACATCAACTCTATTATAGGTCCAAGGTCATCCTAATTTGAGCCCAGGTTTCTCTAATCCTATTCTAACACCTCACCACTATGCCACAGTACATGAGCTCATTTGCATGCAGGGTTGGCAAATGTTGGGTTAATTAACCTACTGTTTGCTATAGTGCATGTCAGGCATTTACCACAGCCTTTTTGAATATTCATTCTCTGATCAGGCCAATTGGGATTGCTACATAATGTTCAAACTTAAACACTGTACATCTATCATAGGATAAACAACCCACAGTTAGCCAAATGACTACATTAAGTATAGGCTAACTGTGGGTTACTTAATCCACAATTAAACTGTATTCCAGGTTCATATATCATTCTAAACCACCCAGTGGTGCATTGTTCACCAGCAGTCTATCAGGCTCCCTGCATCCTGTTGTGATTTCAACCTCAGCCTTTCCGCCCATTCCCTGCATAGTTCCCTTTGTGGCAAAATCAGCGTTCTGTGATCACTTGTTCCCTTACTCGACAGCAGCCTTTTTACTGCTGTCCACTGTATGTTGGGGTGCATTTTGCTTTTGCTGGCTACTGACCAAAAGTTGCCCAGTTCCTCCTCTACCCCATGCCAATTATTATTATTATTATTATTATTATTATTATTATTATTATTACATTTCTATGCCACCCCTTGCCGAAGCCTCGGGGCGGCTTACAACACAGTAAAATACAATACAAAAATAACAATATAAAATTAAAATTAATAATATAAAATAAATAATACACACACACACACACACACACACACACACACGATATAAAAGAAGTTAGAAAAGAAAAGAAAAGAAAAGAAAAGAAAAGAAAAGAAGTCGCCCTGGCCAGATAAATAAGTAAATATTGTTAACAATTAAAATGACGTTTAAATAAAAAGGTCTTCACCTGGCGCCGAAAAACAAATAACGACGGTGCCAGGCGGCATCAGCCTGTGCTTGTTTTTCTAATAGCAACTTTAAGCTTTGATGTGCCCTCTTATTTCATAACACATAACCTTCTTTCTTCATCTGCCTGGGCAACTGGTTTTGATCATCCCCCTGCCCCATAATATGACCGGAGAAGTGGCTCTCACTCACCCACTTCCCCTGTCCAGCTCCCTAGCTGCTGGACCGCTTGTTTTCTTAGCAGTCTTTCCCCGCATCAGCTAAGCCACCTTTGCAAAATCTTCCTTCCTGTGGACTGTGGAACCTTTCCAGACGAGGCCAGCCCAGGTTTCCTCCATCAACTTGTACCTCGCCTCTACTTTCACCTCTATCATACTGGTGGAGTCATTAGAAGAGCTTCCTTTTCACCAGTCCTTCCCGCAGAACCGGATGTGGTCTTAGCTATCTCAAGATCTGCTGGCCTTGGCATTTCAGTTAAGGATTCTGACCCCACTTCTTCTTCCAGTTCCGATTTAGAGTCTCATGCTAACAATCTTAGAAGGCTGTATTTGGGAGAAGCAGACCCAGGGTGTTGCTCTGTGGTCTCGTGAGAGTTCAGGAGCACCTAGGCAGAAGCTACAAGTGCTCCAACTGTTGCAAGGCCATGGGACATTTTTAAAGTAAAAAAAAAAAAAGAAAGACGATTCTTCAGCTACCTCCCACACTTAAAAGGGACATGCAATATCCTTTAAAATGTAGCAGCTAGCTGAGTGATCTTTTACTTTTCTTTTCTGTAAAAAGTACCCTGTGCACTTGCAGAAGCACAAGTCTATTCACAAAGAGGCATCTCCAGGCCAATTCTCTTGAACTCTCATAACAGGAGAAAAAAATTGAGGCAGATAAAACAAAGCCTCTTTCAGAGAGAAAGAGAAATTCCTGGAAATATGGAGCAGAGTTCTCTAGTCTAGACAATGTTTTACATTTATACGAGTTTTATGTTTTGTTTTAATGTTTTTATTAAAACATTACTGGGTTATAGAACATGTAGGAGGAATAACCTCATGCCAGACATATTAGAAAGAAAGAAGAACATATGGTTGAATGTTATCATTACATGATAATATTAGAGGATTGAATAAGCAAAGTCTAGTCCTCCACAAACTTATCTAACTGGCATCCGTCCCTAACCCTTCTATATGTTATCAATTTTGTCATTCTGGTTATTTGCCAGATCCTTTCCAAATGGCTTTAAACTTAGGAGGAATATTTGTCCTTTTCCCATTTGCTGCCAAACTATTCTAGCAGTTCAATAGAAAGATGTACAGTTAATTCAAGTCCACATATTTCAACCTCTTTTCAGATCACAAAAAGCAAGGGTAACAGAACCAGTAATAATTCATACTCAGTGTTATCTTGAAGAATTTGAATTATTGCTTTCTACTAGATTTGTACTGTGAAGAATTGTCATCAAATGTGGCTAGTATCTGTTAAGTAAGTGCAACATCTCCAACAGCCAGCTGAGTTGTCATCACACACACATATTAAAAGGCGTTAAATACCACTGATGTAATGTGTTGCACATATTTTTTCAACCATGTTACTCTTTAGAGGATCTTAACTCTGATTCATACATTTTTTGAAACTGACATCTTCAGATCACTCTTCTGCTTTCTTTGCCATTGCTAAATTTCATTCTTTCTTATTTCGTCCTTTGGAATAAATGGCACAGATAAGACAAGTGGACAGTCAAGTGCACTGTTCAACAATATTAAGATTTCTGAATCATTAATTTATTAAAATCCTGTACCATATTCATTTAAAAACATTGTTAGCCACTCCAACCTGGCTTATACATAATGATAATCCATGTTAACCATAGTTAACTCATGGTTTGTTGCATGATCAGGGATTTGTTTGGAAGATGATCAAAATAACCATAGTTTGTTTTTCTAAACTGCTTGGTTGTTTAACTTTTCCTTCCACTGTTCTCTCCATGTCTCCCAAATACCTTTGCAATGTTGTAGCACCGGCGTGTAGGGCAGCTGGCTTTTTTACTGCTTTTGCCAGCCATCCCTGTGGCCTGGGGAAGCAGCTGATGAACAGTTAAAGTTCTGAAATGACATGTAACGACAGCCCATAGTTCTTCCCAGCTCTATGAATGGAAGAAGTGGAATCTGGATCCAATCAAGCCAAAGCTTTCCTTAGAAGCAAAAATGACAAACTGAGACAGTCCTATTTTGGGCATAATGTGAAAAAGCAAGACTCACAGGAGAAGATAATTGTGCGAAGAAAGTTGAGGGCTGAAAAAGAAAAGGATGGCCAAATAAGAGACGGCTCAACTGCATAATGGAGCCCCAACCTTGAATTTGGGACAGCTAAGCAAGGGTAGGCTACTCTGGGGGGCTTCCATTCATACTGTCCTCATGAATTGGAGAAGACGTGATGGCACGTAACAGCAAGATGAATTGTGTGAAAATCAGATAGAAGTGTCAGAGGATCGACCATATGCCACATATCCACAACTGCTGCATGTTTCTGGTGGCTAAAATATTCTTATAAACATGCTCCAAGATGACTAGCTTTATACTAAACCCCATGATGAACCACAATAGCCATCTCTCCAAACTTCTTCTTATGATTTGTTCATATGAAGGCATATTCCCAAGAAGGGTTTACTGCAGAAGGAAAACTTACAAGTTCAACCAGGTGACTTTCCTCTGTCGGGTGATTTGGTGAAGGCACCTCAAGAAGATGTCAGACACTTCCACTCTAAATCTGACTTTCCCCATTTGGTACCCTCCAGGCCCAGCTCAGCCATCCCAGCCAGCATGCCTGGTCCCCAGAGTTGAAGTTCAGCTTCTGTCATTCCTGATGTTCATGTCTCCTGGGTGTGATGGGAGCTACAGCCCAACACATCTGGAGGGCACCAGGTTGGGGAAGGCTGTTTTAAATCATAAGGACATTTTAGCAAAAAAAAAAAAAAAAAAAAGGCATTACTAAAGTTCCGAAGCGGCAGAAAGCGTCTTTTAAAACAGAAAGATGATATAGATCAATTTATTAAGATAAGGCTTCCAGTCTTTTTCAGAATATATTCCTTTGGAAGACTTTCATCCTACGCTTAGTTTTTGAGCAGGCAGAGTGCATATTTTCAGAAGAGCGAGCTCAGCCATGAAATCAATTTTTATATTAATTAGGAAGCCTGCATGAAACATAGCCACAGTTCTCAAAGTCTGGGTGCTGTAAAAACATGAACATTATGAGGGTTACCTAATGAAACCAATGACTTAAAAGTGTGTTTGAACTGTTAAAGGAAAGAGGAGAAAGGGGTATATTTAAAACACCAGAAAAAAAATGAACTTTTGCAATCCTACTGCAATGTTGGTATCAATACATAAAGTTTTCTAAGTAACAAAAATGAAATTAACATCCAACTGGCTAGATTACTGAGTAGAACCCTTCTGATTCTCAGATTCCATGTATGGAGAAAAATGGTTTATTTGCCA